ATCTGAGGCTCTGCACCTCCAGGAACAACAGGAGGGGCAGGAATGGGCAGAGCAAGGCCGGGTTTGTAGGGGGGAGGGGGGGAACCCCGGAGATCTGCGTCCTCTGCACTCTCGTCCAACGAGTCAGGACCTTGCACCGCTTGCTCAGTCTGCTGAGCTTCGTGCAGGCGAGTGTCCTGCTCCGCATTCTCCATTTCATTTACCTCCCGAATATCCTTGAAGATATGGTACCACTCCTCATTTTCCAGCTCAGACTCAAGAGAAGAGGAACGTGTGGGTGTCGACATCTTGTAAAGTTATAGTAGGCTTGTCGATATTAAAGTGATGTGTGAAAGAGTAGAGAGATGAACTTGGAGAGATTACTATAGAAGAAGAGTTGACGGGAACGGGGATTCTTATAGTCTGGATGACAATAATGCCCGCTTCATTCAGGTCAAGCCCTAAGATAGTGTTTCGACTTGGGCTCGGAGTTATTCCTGGTAGAATTGGGAGTACATAGACATCAAAAGACTAAAACATGGGAAGAACACAGAGATATGCGTCACTTGCCTCAAGGAGAGCCGCCGAGAATCATAATCTATTGGTTCACGGTGAAAACTCTCTGGTCGAGTCACTGATGGAACTATAAAGAGGACAAGACAAGGGAAACCAAATGTATTGAGGCGTTGCTAATGGCATTATGACGGCATTGAGCCCTTTTCCTGAGCCAGAACAGCGAATGAGGTAGAAAGATACTGCGTGAGCGAGTTATTTGATGAAGGTATAAATTCGATGGTGCAATTTCTTACGTCAAGCAGATGAAGAGAGAGTCCTCAGGGGCAAAGAGTCTCTTGTGTGAGCCTCATATGCGAATAATGGCTTGCTCAATCCGCCCCGAGTATCAGGGGTGAGTGCTCCCATCATTATTTCGTTTGATAAAAGCATGGCATTGATGAAAAAAAGGAGAACTACAGAAATCTACAATCATAAGGAAACATATCGTAAACTTGTAGAAGTGAACGGAAAGCAGAATATATCGACACAGATCGATTCAACAGGCCATGCAGTGAAGCACTGCCGAGTTGTGGTTCAGCCACAGGACCGCATGTTGAGAAACTAGCCAATAACGTTTGAAACATGTCGGTGTCAACTCAATACTAGGGAACGAATTGGCACCGGGGCTGTGCCGATGTTTTTGCGTGAATTTCCAAAACTATATTTGACTTTCGAATAGCTGAACTTTGGTTAAACCATCTATTGGTCTCGCTTTGCCCACGGCCGTATCGCCAATATCGACCTGAGCAGCAAGTAATTTTTTGTGTGGCCGCCACGTCAGAACGCATAACGCACAATATGATATTACATTCCCTACTGAGTAGAAACTGAGTTTGGTGTGAGCACATTTTATGGATAGCGAGATGGTTCTACGAGCTCTTTTTGACGTCATAAATTCACCGAAGAATTTTGGTGACTGGCCTGGTCAAACATGCGATTTTAACCTTAACCTTGGCTGATGAGGCTGAGCAGTGCCTGGAAAAGCCGAATGGCAGAGATCAGAAGCACACTCGACCGGGGGATTGTAAATCCTTGGAGAAAATGGGTTGCAGAAATTCGGAGAAGTTGAGATTATTTGCAGCGAGATATCTGGGCCGGGCTTTCGTATTACATGGAATGTAGTTGATAATGGATTCTTAATGTGATGAGGACCGTACCGACATGCAGGGCAGATAGTAACCTTAACTAAGTACCCTATATGTAAATGGATAACTGAATAAAATTGCTTAGAAGGATCGCGATGTGCTTGATATGTGGGAGTGTGTGTTTGATTCTGCGAAACAGTGTCAGCCTGTGTGTTGTTCTGCTTGCCTCTAGGATTTTGGTCAGTTAGAGAATAATAGAAATGGAAAACAGCCTGATCCGTGATTGAAATTGTTGAGGGCTCTTGCTGTTACACTGATGCAAGCATCCGCGCAAACTGCATCCCTCAGTAGCCTCCTCCTCAAGGCACCTTCCACCCCCGACAATCCTTTTCTTGTCTCTGACACACTCTCTCACCGTAATCATCAGTATAAAGTGCTTCTTCTCTTCTTTAATCCCTCTCGCAACTCGAGTGTCTACAGCATCTGTGTCTTCATCTTGAGCAGTCATTCTCCACGCTTCAACATGTCGGACCACGAGTACATCGACACTGACGACGAAGACGATCAGTATCGCCTGATCGTGAACCCTTCCAAGCCTCGAAAGTTGACGGAAAAGAAACTTCGAGACCAAGCTGCTCTACAAGCGCACATAGAAAAGACACAGAGAGACGCCGCGAGGAGTGCCGTCCCTTTCAGCGATCCCAACAAACAGTCCCTCGCCCAGCTCATGAACCAGAACGAGAGCCACAAGATTATCGCGTCGCCCCGGGAATACCAGATTGAACTGTTCGAGCGCGCCAAAGAGAAAAACCTCCTCGTGGTATTGCCTACAGGTGTGTTGACGAGCTACTAATCCGGGGTCTGCTAACAGTGCAGGTACTGGCAAAACACTCATCTCTGCCTTGCTGCTACGACATCACCTCGAGCAGGAGCTTGAAGCGCGGGCCATCGGGAAACCCAAGAAAGTCGCCTTTTTCCTTGTGGAAAAGGTCGCACTCTGTGTTCAGCAACATGCCGTCCTCAGCTGCAACCTCGGAGCCCACCCCGTCACCAAGTTCGTGGGCAACATGAAAGGCATGACCAAGACCAAAGAGTACTGGGATGAGAAGTTTGGCGAAAACATGGTCGTGGTCTGCACTGCCCAGATCCTCCTCGACTGCCTCACGTGCGGCTTCATCACCATGTCCCGAATTAACCTCCTCATCTTTGACGAGGCACACCACACGAAGAAGAAGCACCCGTACGCCCGTATCATGGACGGGTATTACTACAAACACGAAGGCGAGAAGCCCCGTATACTGGGTATGACTGCTTCGCCGGTGGATGCGCGGACCAGGGACGTGAAAGACACTGCCCTGGAGCTTGAGAGGTCGCTTGACAGCCAGATCGCCACCATTTCAGATGAGGTGCTGATGGAGACCATGCACCGACAGAAGCAAACCGAAGAAACTGTCAACTACAGAAGACTTGAGGCTCCCGATGATACAAAGACGCAGCTTTGGGATCAGATCTTTGCCCTTGTTTCTCGCAACGAGCAGTTCAAGTTGTCGCTAGAGTTCACAAAAGAGGCGTCGTCCGTCCTCGGCACTTGGTGCGCGGACCGTTACTGGGAGCTTGCCATGACAGATCTCGAGACTGAACGGCTCGCAGCCAGGACAAGTCGGGAATTTATTGGAGACATCGCAGTGACAAGGGCAGATCAAGCAACAGAGGCCGTCCGACGTGTCCAGGCAATTGTCCGAGTTCACACATTTGGTGCGGTCAACCCAAATTCTGTAGGTCTCTCGGCCAAGGTCAGAAGTCTCCACGAGATCTTGGTGCACGCTTTCACGATTGATGGCACCAAACGTTGCATTGTTTTTGTCGAGAAGCGATACACAGCCCGGTTACTTGCGGATCTCTATAGCCAGCCTTCCATGAGGATCCCAGGAATGAACGCTGCATACATGGTAAGTTATAGCCTTTTCCATTTGACTTTGCTAACAATTTCAGGTCGGCTGTCAATCTATCAGTTCGAGCTTCGGCACCATGTCGTTTCGAGATCAAGTCCTGGCACTCCACGAATTCAAGCACGGCAATACCAACTGCCTTTTTACGACACCGGTTGCAGAAGAGGGCATCGACGTTCCAGATTGTGATCTTGTTATTCGCTTTGACCTCTACAATTCCGTCATCCAATACTTGCAATCCAAAGGACGCGCCCGACAAGCACGCTCTCGATATATCACCATGATGGAAGAGGGCAACTTGACACATATTCGAAGTGCGAAGCAAGCATTGAGAGATTCACAAGCCCTGGAGAAGTTCTGTCTTTCTCTTTCCGCTGACCGGAAACTTCATGATGATTTGTTAGACGAGGACACGGAGATGATGGTTGAGCGCATGCAGCATCAAGTGTACGAGATACCCTCGACAGGCGCACGCCTCACGTTTCCCGCCAGTCTCGAGATTCTGGCCAGATTTGCTTCCCACTTGTCAACTGACAGCTATGCCAAAATTGAATACCAAGTACAGAAGGCAGGCGATCGATATCTGGCCGACGTGGTAATGCCATCCCAGTCTCCGGTCAACTTTATAAAGGGTACGCAACAGCGCAGCAAACTAATGGCCAAGTGTTCTGCAGCATTTGAAGCCTGCAAGATACTGATCAGAGACAAACATATCGACGGCAATCTTCAGCCGACATTCAAGAAGAAGGTCCACGCTATGCGAAACGCACGGCTGGCTGTCAGTTCAAACAAGAAGGCTGATTATGACATGCGTTTACGGCCAGAGATTTGGGCTGAGCGGGGGGAGTGGTCTGAATGCTTTGCGACTACAATCACCATCAAAGATGGGGGTGCCCTTAGAAAGGTAGTTGTCGGAAAGTCGCTGATACTTCTCTCGCGCAAGCCAATCCCAAAGCTGCCAGATGTTCCTTTGTTCTTTGGCAATGGACATTCCTCTATTGCTGAATTGACGCCTTTCCAAGAGTCTCTTCAGCTCGGCCCTGAAGAAGCGGACGGTTTGACGAAATTCACTCATCGTGTATTCGCCGATGTGTTCAGCAAAGAATACGATACCACGTCCGACCAATATCCTTACCTCCTCGCACCTTGCGCCGACGGTCCCCAATCAGACACTCGGTCACACATCGACTGGGATGTTGTCAATCTCGTGAGGGAGAACGAGGTGCTCGATTGGGAGAATGCGCCAGAAGACTTCTTTGTCAACAAGTTTGTGACTGATCCATATGATGGAGGTCGCAAGCTTGTCATCAAAGGTATCGACAGAACGAAGAAGCCATCCGATCCCACACCCGAGGGAGTCCCCGAATCAAGAAGCAGAGCTTATAGATCTGTGGAACCGACAATCATGCAATACAGTAGCAGTCTGTTTCTTAAATCTCGCCGAAAGGTGAAGTGGCGGGAGGACCAGCCCGTTGTCAAGGCGGAGTTGCTTTCTCTACGACGAAACCTTTTGGATGAGTTTGAGGCTGATGAAAAGGTCAACATGGAGTGTTTCATCATTCTGGAACCTCTCAATGTGTCTCCTGTAAGTTAGATCCCTGCCTCGATGCTTGTCTAATTGTCGCAGCTACCCATTGACGTAGTCTCTATGGCCATGGCATTTCCAGCAATAATTCACCGAATAGATTCCGTACTGATTGTCTTGGACGCATGCAATCTTCTTCGCCTTGAGATTCCACCGGAACTTGCACTGGAGGCCATGACCAAAGACAGCGACAACTCTGGAGAACATGACACAGAACAGATCAATTTCCAGACAGGCATGGGCGACAATTACGAACGATTAGAGTTCCTCGGTGACTGTTTTCTCAAGATGGCCACCACGATCTCAATCTACACACTCATGCCTGATGGAAATGAGTGCAAATACCACGTCGAGCGTATGCTTCTCATTTGCAACCAGAACCTCTTCAATCATGCGGTTGATCGCAAACTCCAAGAGTTTGTACGATCCAAATCATTCGACAGACGAACGTGGTACCCTGATCTTCCACTCAAGAAAGGAAAGGCACCGAAAACTTCGATGAAGCATAATCTGGCCGACAAGACGGTTGCCGATGTTTGTGAAGCTCTCATTGGAGCGGCGTATCTCACAAGCAAGGACAGCAACATGGATTTGGCTGTCAAAGCCGTGACGCGAATGACCAAGTCAAAGAACCACAGAATGAAGGCTTTCAAGGATTACTATAAAGCTTACAAGGTTCCTGAGTGGCAGGAAGGTAATGCATCGGCCTCTCAGCGCAACCTCGTACAGAAGGTGGCACAAGCGACAGGATACCGCTTCAAGTATGCACAACTTGTCCAGAGTGCCTTTAAACATCCTTCGTGGCCGTATGAGTCTGTGCCAGATTATCAACGTCTCGAATTTCTGGGCGATTCCCTTCTCGACATGGCCATCGTTGATTATCTCTATCGAAACTTCCCCAGGGCAGATCCTCAGTGGTTGACGGAGCACAAGATGGCCATGGTATCGAACCAGTTTCTTGGCTGTCTTTGTGTAAAGCTTGGTCTGCACCCATGTCTACTCTCTAGCACATCGACTCTCCTCAGCCAGATTCGCGATTATGTCGTGGAACTTGAGGTTGCTGAAGAAAATGCTCGCAAGGAAGCAAAGGAAGAGGGAACTCCCATGCGCAAGGACTTCTGGCTCAAGGTAGATTCACCACCAAAAGCTTATGCCGATGTGATTGAAGCTCTCGTTGGAGCCATGTTTGTCGATTCAAAGTACAAGTTTTCGGTCGTCGAGGATTTCTTCACCAAGTTCATCCAGCCATATTTCCAGGACATGAGACTCTACGACACTTTTGCGAACAAACACCCAGTCACCTTTCTGTCCAAGAAGATGCATCAGGAACTCGGTTGCACAAACTGGCGCATCAGCGCAGAGGCTGTACCGTGTAGTGCAGATCAAGGCATGGCGGCGCTGAAGGACACGGAAATGTGCGCTGTGTTTATGGTGCATCAAAAGGTTATCGCGGATGACACTTCTGAGAGTGGACGATATTCTAAGCAGCGTGCTGCATCGAAGGCGCTGAAGATACTTGATTCGTTTGGGGAGGATGTTGAGGCGGCAAAGAGGTTTTTGGGGTGTGATTGTCAAATTGGAGGGGGGGATGTTGAGGTTGATCATGGAACAGCTGTTTGAGCTGAAGACGGCACTAGAGTTGGGGACGTGGTTTAAACATAAAGCGAGTTACAGCGTTAGAAGCGTAGACAAGATTATAGAGCAATTAAAAGCGTTGCGTTGATAGTCCTGGTCCTTCGGGTGCATGATTGAGGCACGAGACACGCATGGCTGAGCAGCTTTGTCTCTGTATTGGGCCCTAGACGGTGACATATCCAGGATCCATAGATAACCAGACCTATCTCTACTTCAAATACACCCATCCATCACTGTTTGGCTTTCCCGGGTACAATACTAGAAAGTCCCCGTCTATCAGGCATAACATACCCATCCCTCGCCTCAACACTCCCCCAAAGCTGCGGCGAATAATACACAAACGGCAACTCCTCGAACGCTAACCTCGAATTCCCCTTGATACACTCCTCTAATCCCATATCCTTCCGTCCAGCAAGCGCAATCTGTATCTGCTGCACCCAGAACATAGCCTGCGTCAAACCAATCCACTTCGCAATCTCCAGCGCCGTCGACGAAGCCAGCGAAGCATCACCGCGCTTTGTACTAGTCGCAGTAGATTTCGTCTTTTCTGTAAGACGGTTGAATAGGAATGTTATGAGGCTAGCGTGGCTGGCGACGTTGAGTTCAGACTCTGGGATGAGGTTTGCTTCGTCAATGAGGATGGATGCCAGGAAGTCTAGATCTTCTGATGGTGGGAGTTTTGTGTTTGTTGAGCGGTTATTTGTAGCGTTTATCATTTGTGAGACTGCGAGGTCTTTTCTTGCTTGCGAGGGAAGGTTGAAGATATTCGGGAGGGGTTTCTTGTCAGGGTTGACGAATGCCATTCTAGCGGGGATGCTCTCCCATGTTAATTGGGAGTAGTACTCTTTCCACTCATCACCCTTGATGTCGAAGAGGGACTTAAACGCCTCGTAAGTTGTGAATTGCTTTTCGGATGATTCGACTTCCAAAGAACGGGTGTAAGCGTGGATGATCTGAATCCAGAAATACGCTTGTGTCTCTGAATACGGAGGAATCGAAGAATCCGTCGCTCTCAACCGCATCGTCGAAGACTGCAGTGCGTCAAGGGCCTGCTTAACAACCCCTCCGCGTCTAAGCTTCGACGAAAGAGTCTTTTGGACAACCGAAAACGCAAACCGTGGGAGTCTATCAACATCGTTTACAACTTTCTCTTGCACAGGCGTATAAGTGACTTGTTTAATCGTAGGAAGAGGCTATAAATCCGGTAGACTGTAATTAGCCCTAGCTAGCGGTGAGAACAGCAGGTCCTTGGAGTAGTATCTTCTCCATAGGTTGGAGTTCATGAGATGAGGTGCTGAGAAGACGATGTCGGCGTAGGCTTCTCGCGAGGGGAATATACCGGGGTGGGAGCGTGCTTGGTATTCTATTGCGGCGACTTGGATTTGGTGAAGCCAGAATATCGTCATTGTTCTGAAGAGTCAGTAACCAGATATAGAAAGGGGATGGGTTACTTACTTGTGCGCTGTGTTGCGAAATCTCTCGGGTTTTATTTCGCGTAGACGATTCAAGTGCTTCATGAAGTCATCGGCACACTCCAGCAATCCTACTCCTTTACCGAAGCAATCGTGTATGATGAAGAAGCCTGCTCTTAGATGAGTGTAATGATCCCACGCCTCTAAACTCCCATCTAGAAACGACTCCCAGAACGTGTTTGCATCAGCACTCTGAGCATTAGCCGTTCTGATCTTATTGAGAAGCTCCTCTTCACCCGGTCCCTTTTCCCTCAGCTCAATCTCAGCTTTCGTATCCTTCGCTGCATTCTTCGGTTTAAGGGTCTTTCGTATCTCATCCATGACGTTATGAACCTGACAGCCTCCAAGGGCACTTAGACCAGGAGTATCCAAGATCTTGATGTCAAGCTTATCAGCGTATGGTTTGATCTCAGCTTCAATCTTGTCTCTTAAATCTTTCACGATTTTAGGTCGTTCTTCTTCTGAGAGGAGATCTTGCTTGTTGAAAATGATAAACATGTGTTTTGCTTCGTACTCAAGCATCATGTTCAATCCCATGCGGAGATACTCGAGTGAGAACTCAACGCGCTCAGAATCTGTGTCGGTGCAGCTTTGGATGAAGATCAGAAAGCGATCTTGGGTCATGTAGTGTCGTATAAGAGGACGAATAGCATCGCAGCCTAGACTGTTAGTAAAGAACACAGTTTACAGAGAATAGCTAACCTCCAACGTCCCAGAGGGTAACTTTCTCTCCGTCGGGATAGTCTATAGTCTCGACATTGAAGCCAATTGTCGGAATGACCTGTACGGCTTCATTGAGCTTGAGTCTGTAGAGCAATGTTGTTTTGCCGGATGCGTCATTGCCTAGAACGAGGCCGACGTGTTCGCGGCCTCCGCCCAAGAGCCAACGGGCGATACCTGGGATGTTAGCTTGAGACAATCACTTTTCGGTAAAACTTACGCATGATGTTGATGATTGAACTGAATTGAAGATTTACCAGAAAGTAAATGAATTTGCTGCTTTATATGTTGTTAAAAGTCGCTGCCTTGAAGTGGGGAGCTGAGATTAGACGTGGCTTCAAGAATCTGCCTTGTTCTTCAGCTCCTCGAAATAACTACCTACGCTAAGTGCCCACAGCCCCTAAACTTCTACTTCAACAACGATACAATTCTCTAGTCTTCGTGAGAAGAATGAACCATTATTCAAGTCTAGTCCAGCCTCTTGGGTATCAATCCTAATCCATAGACCCAGCAAGCGCAACAGCACTAAACCTCAGATCCCCACCCTCCCTCTCCAAAAACTTCAGCGCACCCAGCGCCAAACCCTTTGGACTCAGCACATCCTCGTTATCCTCCAGATCCCCCCGTCGAATAGGTCCTTTTCGCCGTCCGTCGAGTTCCCACAGTCCGCCGTCTGTGCCCTTGGCGAAGCAGACGTAGTGTAGCTCCACGTCGTCTTCTGCTGCAGGCGCGGGCGTGTCGCCTTGTGTAGCGGCTTCTTTGTGCGCTGTTGCGAGATCAGGTGTTGTCTCGAGGACTTTTGCGCGGCCGTGGGGATCGAGAGGGATACTCTTCTTGATCAACACATCAAGCGTAGAATCCTCCTCTGCGAAATATTAGCTCCCATCCATTCCCCTAAGTGTAGAACGTACCGATGAAACTTCTAGCATTTCCATTGCAGACAGCGTGTAGTAAACCCATCAGCCCACAGGCATTCCTAATTGTCTGCGGCCACCAGAGCACCGGCTCCGTATCCCCCTTGCCCTTGTACTCATCGGCCAGACTATCCTCAGCCATGCGGTGACTCTCGTACACGGCGCTAACGGGGAACACGAGGAGGAGAGCGAGCACGGGGCGGGGTATGAAGGCGAGGAGGTCAGGGTCGGTGAGGGAGTAGACGTCGTGCATTGCGAGGGCGTTTGAGACGCCGAGTTTGTGGATGAGGGTTGTCATGAGCTCGGGGTTTGCTTCGAGGGGGATGAAGGCCGGGCGGGAGTCGGAGGGGTTGGGGTCTGTTGTTGAAGACATTTTGGCGGTTGTTTGTGTGAAATGTGAGGTTGTGATGGTGTTTGAGTGAGTTGGTGATGTTAAGCTGGTGATGATGGAGGAAGAAATGCCCCACGTTGAGTTGGCGGGGTGGTTTACTGATGACGTCGCCTAAACAATTCGCTAGGTACCTAAGCCTTACAGCGTATCCTCGGCATAAAAGCATCCATCATCACAGCTGCAGCCATCATGCTATCGTTTGAGTTGTGCATAAAGCCCCATACAAACAGTTGCAGGATTTACAAAAGAAGCAATTCTATTGAAACAACCTTCAGCTATAACATGAGCAATATAGAACGTCATAAAAGAGGAGACCGAGTTTACTGTACAGTTGTAGGGTAACCATCACCAAACAACGAGTTTATCTCTCACTCATATAATTGCATTTTAGTCCCTCCAATCTTATTAAAGACACAGACAATCATCAGCCTTGAGCGCAGATCCCATTCTCCTACTATTTTCCTAGTCTCTTGATCAGCGCTGCCATATTTAGTTCGCTGCTAGTTTGATTGTGTCACCTCAACGCGAGAAACAGATCCGAAACGATCTATAGTTACATGGGTCGCTGCAAGTAAAAAGCAAAGTGATATGTAACCCTTCTGTTATAGCAATCCAGGTTTATAGAAACATAATTGAAACGATATAAACATCAATGACACCATGACATCAACTGGTGATTCACTGGTACATCTATCACATCTTTTGCTCGTTGATAAAGGGTTTGTCCCGTGTGCACAGAGAAAAAGATAAAAAGATCACAAATTGGCCCCAACGCGCGGAACCGGACTTGCACTAAAGATACTAACAAGTCTATGATTGAGATCTTCTCGTACAATGTGACCCTCACTCACCACGAACAATCCGTCAATTTCTCCGTCCGTATCCGTACGACAAAGGACATCTCACAAAAACTCCAGTTACGCAAACACAAAAAGGTAGCAATATAATACAAACAGGTGACCAACGGATATACACACAGGGAACACGGCAATTTAATAGACGAGGCAATCATCAAACTCAAAGGTCAGCAGCGGCCCGACCCCGTTGACCCGTGGGAGTATCGATGCAACGTGGACAAGGCTATTGTGATGCTTGGACCCAATGACTCGGATGCCGACATTTTGTCTCGGACAATGCGATACTACAGCGTAATTATTCGCGTTGAGTTCGCCTATATCTCCTTGCATCGTTTGGACAAGGCATGACTCGACTGGTGTTCGCGTAGTACTTCAGGCTGTGTATCAGGTAGACTAAAGCACACATCTTCTCTGTCTATCACTGCTTGATTCGGAGCCGTTTTGATGGCGTCAGTCGGTTAAACCCCAGATGGCAGTTGAACCAAGCCCTCTCTGAGAAGGATTCATCAAGTTTGCATCTTATTTGTTGGTGATATTTTCCGTGATACTTCTTGAAGCCCCTGAGTGGGAAGAATAGTGGTCCCTGCGTCCGTCCATATCGGTCCAGGCTTGTCCAGGGATGGAATGGATGGATGCAGAGTTCGGCTCAGGTTCAGGGGTGATGCAAGTCAGACGCCCCCTGACCTGGACCTGAGCGTGAGTGATTGATCCTGGGGGGTAATCGGCCACTCTCCCGTCGACGATCTACTCTGAAAACAAGTCAACATGTCTCAGCCTGCAGGTGGAATGTCTGACTTGATGTCGAGACATTCTTCACGTCAAGGTATTCTCTTCGTTCATGACCGAGACACAACATCCCCATCCCCTCTCTACCTTAGCCTCTCATCCCTCTCCCCTCCCCTCACTCTTGGTCTCTCTCAGATCCATCGTGGCCTGTCACTCTCCGCTAGCACCCTCCACTCCAAACATGGTTGCATGGATCCCTTCCTCTCGTTCGTTGGCGTCATCCACCCCTGTCCCCCAAAACCAAGCATCTTGTCTGTTTTAGGTCAAGGATGATATGTACCTTTTCCTTCCAAAGAAGCTTCTCAAACCAAACAGCGAGGAAATAAAACGAAAAGACCTCCCACCACATCCTCCTAAACTTTAAAGCCACAAGGACACAAACAGGTTCTGATTCAACGAGGCTTGCATTAGTCTCACGTTTTCACTTGGGCTGTTTTGATACCGTACATTCATTCATTGCTTATAAGCGCCTGGTTTTCCTTTTTCTTTCGGCGCCTCGATTGCGCGTACCCTTTTTCATTTCAGATCGGAATGCCAACATCTCATCTTTAAAAAAGCGCTGAGGTGTCCCCTTTCACCTGGGGTCTCTCTAAATATCGCGAATTTCTTCTCTTTGATGCCGACCTGCCGCATGGCAGGGTAAGGCGATCATCATGGGCTTCTTTAGCAATATCTTTGCGCGAAAGAGTCAGAACAGGGCTTCGCTCAAGGGTCAAGCGTACAATTCGACTGTAGCTTCGATACCGCCAATTCAAGGTAAACACCACAATCAACTCCTGGATTCTTTGTCTAACATTACCAGGAACATACCCGGTCGCTGGAAATGGACCAAACGTATTGGATCAGCTGCAGCGAGCAGCCAGAAAACGCAGCCAAGCCCAATTATCAACGGTATCACAAGATCCAGCCGCGCCACCTCCCATGGTCCCCCGATTC